ATCCACATGTCCTGCTATAGGTCAAATGAGTGTTTTGGTAAATAGAGTCTGGTGGCTTAAAAAGAGATCAGAACTGATATACAGTATTGGCCTTATTTAAAATGATGGTAGTTGACTTTCTGTGTCATTTAAAATTCCCTTTTTCATGCATCTTAACTGTATGTACCTGACAATATGATAAACCAAATGTTTTCTACAATTAGCTTCAATTTAAGCAAATAACCCATTATTTTAATCATATTTAATATTTTCTCTCCATTTTCTATTTCGGAAAACATTATATTGTTAATTGTTATTATTTAATCAGGTAAAAAAAAAATGGTGTAGATATTTCTATGTTATTTCCATTACTTTACCAAACAGTGTTTCCAGATGAGCTGGTCGCAGTCTTAAACATTACAAATAGAAGCCGTAATATCACGAACATCAAAACAGTGAAAGGAACAAAACAGAGAAGAAAGGGGAGGAAGAAGGAGGTGGAGGTGCAGGAAGAAAGGAGGATATTTTAAGACACACTTTGCACTGCATCAGGAGCTTGTTAAGAATGCAGTAACATTTAGAAAGACTATAGGATTCCCAATAAAGAAAAGCAGAAGGATAACATCAGCTATAACATTTAATCAGTTTGGTGTAAAAAAACAAACAAAAAGGAACTTCACAGGCATCAGCAGCTAATAAGTAACCTAAATTGAATTGATAAATTGTATTTAGAGTAGAAAACTGCTTGCTAACTAGTTTTGGTTTGTTTGCTGCAAATGAAATAAGCCAGTGGCTTTACTCGACAAAGTGTACAGTTTGGCTATTTATACAAATAATAACCCCTTTGGTACAATGATGACTCACTGATTATCAGACAATATAATAACTCCATATCAGTCTAATTAGTATATCCTGAGGGCGTGACGAGACTTCTGGATGTGATACAATCTAAACAGCGTCAGGGCTGCTTTTTGCAAATGAAGCACCAGGAGAGATGGCTGCGAGGATCTCAGGGATTTCATTCTGTAAATATTGAACTTCTGTGTGTGATGAAGATGTCAGACAACTAGCTTACACCAGTAAGCTCCATCAAATTGACTGAAATGTCTGCAAATGTCTCAATATAACGAGCCAGAATTAAGGATTCTGGGAAAGTTATCCGAGGGGAAGGATTTTATTTTAAAGTTAGAAAACTCTCCATAAAATGTCATGGAAGGTGCGTGGACATGTGTATGAGCTGATAATGAATTAATCTCCTTGTTAAGAAAAGGAGATCTGCTAAGAGGCATTTCTTAGTGCAGGTGGAAAGAGGGGGTGTGTGTGTGTGTGTGTGTGTGTGTGTGTGTGTGTGTGTGTGTGTGTGTGTGTGTGTGTGTGTGTGTGTGTGTGTGTGTGTGAATAATCCTGTTGACTTCAGAGATCTGTAGAGGGGGTTGAAAGTCTTGGCATCACTATGGGAGGCGGATCAATTCTCTGGAGTTAAAAGTGAAGCAGNGTGTGCCTTGGCAGCTAGCTTTCCTTTGTTCAAAGATAGAACACCTGCTATAAGGATCTCTGAAGCTAACCTGTGATATAAACCAAAGGTTTAAAAAAATCAACATTTTGTTGTTTGATGAGGGTTATACTTGTCTATTTATTTACAAGGGTCATTGATCATCATGTTGTGACTTTCTACTATGTATTAACGGCTATTTCACAGCGATTTTGAGTTTCAGGTGACTATGCACTAATGACAACATAGTTATCAAAATATTATCTATTTCTCCTAGTAGTTCAGACTAAATCAACCATCTATTTTACCAATGACAGAGCCTAGCAAGATGTTTTCCTCTGTTTAGAGCCTCTATGCTAAGCTAAGCTAACTGGCATATGTTTACCATACAGACATCATAAAAGGTGGAAATGGGAATTTGTGATAGTATCAATGAGGAAATCTTGATTTGTACTCAGTAAAAAGTACTGTTAACATATGTGTGACTTATTGAAATTAAAATGTAGGCTATGCTCTGTTGAACTTTTTGTCAACCCTAAACTTCGCAAATGCTTGGCAATGCTTCTGGTAAGTCTAGACAGGTTGCAGGCGCAAAGAACACACACATGTAAGAAGCAGTCATCTTGCTAAGGCGATGGACATTTGCAAAATGTTTCCCACCAATTGAAAAAAATCCTGGCAGAAAAAGTGGAATTCCCAATGGGAGGGATGACTTATTTTAGAGGCCACTGGAAGTCTGAGACTGCAAGGTAGACAGTATTACACAGTGCAATCGTTAACATTCCCCTAAGCTCACGTCAGGGCAGCTTTTAGATGTCTGAGGTAATCACCTTGTGAGACGGCTTCTTCTTGGGCATGCCTGCGCTGCCAGCAGAGCCTCAGATGACTTATTGTAAATGGAGAGGGTGTTTAGTGCTCTAGAAAAAAACGGGCCTCTGAAAGGGGTCCTGACACTTTGTTGCTAAGGGGGCAGGTTTGTGCAAAGCTGGCCTCTTTGTTGACATTCTCATGACAAATGTATAGAGCCTGGGACACAACACTACACTGCTAAACAGGCCTGAAGAGTTATTTGGGTAAATGTAAAGATGCCTGCAGTGATTTGTGCACAAGGTCTGTACGCTAACATGCTTTTAGCATGTTGTAAAGTAGTTGTGCCATTCTGGAAAAGTATTATTATTTTTAAGCATAAGTCCCTCTAGTTTGCCTAAAATTAACATTTGATTAATTTTATCAGATGAATTTAGATTTCAAAATGTGAATTTACTAGTGATTCAAGCTAAGAAATGCTTTAACATGGTAACATGAGTTCAATCAGTATACAGTTTTTCCGTTCAAGTGCTGAAGCCAATTTCTTTTTTTTATTATTTATTATTTATGCAAAGTTTAGTTTTTCCTTAAATGTCAGAAAAATAGTGCCTGTCTTGAGCCCGAGGCAATGTCTTTACATTTTAAATAAGCAACATTCCAAAAGGTGGAATCAGCTAATGTGTGGCTTTTTTGATTGATAAATTACATTAATGATTTAAGAATAAAAAAAAAAAGCTGTTATATTCTGTTTAGTAATCGATCTATCCACTACTTGTTTCCTCACTGTTATGATTCCTAAGCCAGGATCAACAGAAGCTGAAACAGTGGCAGAGTTATTTCAGGTATGTGCCCGTCCTTGAATATCCGAATCTGCCTGAAAAATGATAGGATGAGATTCCACCTCGGATGAATAACACCATAAGAATCTCGTCAAGTAAAGACAGCCAAACATTTTTTGCTTTAAAGGCCCCATGACATGGCCATTTCTACTGATCATAATTCCATTGTTGAGGTCTACTAGAATAGATTTACATTGTTCAATGTTCCAAAATCACATTGGTTTCTCATACAGCATCTCTGTATAGTATGTGTATTCACTCTCTGTCCTACACGCCTTGTTGGAGCTCCCGTTGACAGTTCACGAGCGTGCTCTCTCTCTTTCTCTCTCTCCCCCCCCGTCCCCCCCGTCAGAGTTGTGTAAAGACCAACGGGTAATACTGGATTTCGACGGAAACGTTACGATCCTGTCCGTCGAAAGTAGTCTAGCGCTAGCTCTGGTGCAGAGATCCGCGGCTGAGAAAAGATAAGGCTGAGTGAGTGTGTGTCCGTTACGTCACTATGACAAGGAAGACAAAAATGGAAAAAGAAAAATCTCCAACGAGGCGTTCTGGGGCAGCATCAGGTATTTTCTGTGTTAAGAGTTTTACTCGCTACAGGGTGTACTTTGAGGGTTTGTGACTCTGCAGACCGTTTACATGCAGAAAAACCTTCATAACACACAAGGGGACTGGTAATAACCAGAAAAGCATGACATGGGCCCTTTAAAAACAAACAGTAATGTGTCTAAAATAAACAGCCTCACGGAGACTTTGGTGGCACTGATTTATGGTTTTATGGTTCCTCTGAAGCCGGAATCAATTTTTAAGTTTTTGAGACATGATTGACAATAATTAAAGGGCAGGAAAAGCTTACAAAGCATGGCTAGAAGGAGTTAGATTTCAATGGTGAATAAAACATAATTTCACAAAGCCTAAAGGGGGTTTGTTAAGGACAACTGCGTGTAAAACAGTAAAGAAAGCAACACAGTTCCTGTCAATCAACATTTGTTGCTGTTCACCAAAATTCCAAGCTTCAAATGCTAACTGTAATTAGCAGAGCGTGCTTTGTCTCAACAACAGCAATGGGAAAGTGGGATCAAAATAATGAAAGACAAATGTGCGCAATGCCCTACACCTGGATGTCAGTGATTCCACCAGAAGACTTGCCAACATATCCATCTGGAGCTTTTCAGGGCATTAAAGGCTCAACACCTGCACATTAATGAATACACTGCAGGAAACAGCATTAATATTCTGAAACCATGTGGATGTTTAAAATCTTAAACATTCCAAAGTGATGTTATTGTTCCTGAACCTGGATTCACGCTGCGCTAATTATTGCCAATTTACCCGAGCCATCCTGCATCAAACGCAACACTTCTCCAGAAACCAACTCCAGCCCACAGGCGAAACTCTCCCCGCAGTACCGGTTTGAGGAGAAACAAGTACATGACGCTCAGCGAAGAGCAGGTTTTGTGACTGAAAGTGTAGCGAGGAAGAGAAGAGGCCATAAAACAGTGTGCTGTAAAGAAAAACAGAGTAGAAAAAGACAGGTGTAAATCAAGAGGAGAGGAGCGGAGATGATCTCAGGACGACAATAACCGGCTCTGAGAGACTGGAAGAACCTGGCCCGGGGTCACAACTCAACAGGTACAGACTTGTTTAAGAGAGCACCGAGTGGAAAGAAAACACCTCTGTGTCAAAGCAGTGACAAGAGCACAAGAGGGAGAAAAGTACTTTTCTCATTTTTCTTTATGGCCTCATGGTGCGTGTTTGTTTTCTTTTAACCACAAATCTCTGTGGGATGGATGGTTTTCTCATTTTGGTGCATTCATTAAGGGACTGTTTTCTATGGAATTGTTATTCTTTTGTTGCTCTGGCTGTTATCCAGCATACTTACCATACATCTTTCCCTCATCTGACAGGATGATTTTCCTCCTGCCGCAGGGGGGGTATATGGCGAGGGCCTCCTGGAAGCTCTGCTCGATGTCCGGGCTCCACACGCCCTCGGCGTCCCCGTCAATGGCCTTGTCATCGTTCTCCCCGTCCAGCCCATCTTCAGGGCTACCGTTGGCACTCCACTCGTTGGACGCAATGGTGGCGGCTCCCCCTGGGCCCGACCCCGAGCCCCAAAATCAAGGAATCTGTAGGAGACCTTTGAGAGAAAGGCATAGGATGCTTAGATTATTTGATATCTTCATATTGATTTAAATTATTTAGCAAATGTTAACAAATAATTAACTTTGAAATCTAAACAGTGGAAAAAAAATGTTAAAGAATTTGTTATTATCAACAAAAGCCATGACAACACCAAATCAACAATAACTAGGCAGGTAATGTCAGTTCAACCGAAGCCTGGTATAGTTTATAAACTATAGAGCTCCATTGTTACTCCAACAAGAAGCCTATGATTGCTGTTGGGCTTCTTCGGGCTTATTAACAAAAAAAACTAGTGGCCTGATTTTCATTACATTCGGTGAAAGAATGTACCATGGGCAAAAGAAGAAGCCATTACATGTTGGTGCTGATCTGAATCCCATAGAAGCAGTAGTTTTTTCGCTTTCGTCAAATTGCAAAATAAGGCATTTGGCCATGGCAAAAGTCTGTGCTCTCTGAGTGACCTTCTTGTTATCTAACATTATTTAAAACACATTATTGAGCTACATAATTGCAATCTGTGGCATGTGTCATATGAGTGAGGGCACTGTGAGTCAATCTAACAAACACTGTCCTGGTGATGTAAATACTCACTAGTGCATCGAATCTGTATTGATCCGCTGCTGCACATAGTTCCCCAACAAGTGCCATGTTTACTTCTGTTTGCTATAAAGCTGTTTAGGACATTACTTCTTATTTAAGAAAAACCCGTTATATATAAGTCATTGTTTAAGGATTTATAATTTAAGTGGGAATTAATATTCATAAGCAAATCACATGAACAACATTGAGTTGTTCATGTGATTTGCTACTAATAACAGAAATGAGTGCAGCAATAAGCCATCATTTTCATAATTTGAATAAGGAAACTCTTCTGCTTGAACCACAACATGTACATCTTACTATAAAAAAAAACCTATAATTTTAGGCAGTGAAAATTGTACAAACTATTGTATCAATTTTGGTCAATCGGCCACAGTCGTAAATGTGGGTCATGTGATGCTAAATGCATTGCTATGAGGAAAATCATGCCTCACAATAAATATTCTATTAGGTCTACCATACTGTCTTATTACAAACCGCCTTTTGTTTTATCAACATATTCTTCTTTTTGAGATTGACATGCAGAAACTCAGCCAGTAAAATCCTGTAAAGATGTCTTTATATTTGGCACAAGTAGCATGAATCTTGGAAAAATGTTCTCAGAAAACATCCACTGTTTTTTGCCTTCATGTTGACAAACTGAGCTGTAATAACCAACAGGTTAGTGTAACGGCTTTTTATTTGTTTCCTTGTTTCGACTCTAGCAACTCGGCTTATAATCAGAAGCAAATTTCAACAAGATCAATAAAATAAAAAAGAACATGATTTCTGATTTAAGTAATGTCGGCTACCTCATTAACAGCTTGCCATGCTGTGTGAACTTCAACCCGGCTTAGCTTCTCTACAAGTAATGAACATAAAGTGAATTATTTGTGTGGCTTTAAAGAGCTGAGTTAAGCATAATGAGAGTTAAAAAGGGAATGTCATTCATGTGCAGGTCGTTACTTTGCCTCTCTTTGACAATGTCTTTATTGCTGTCATTAAATCTGAATGAATAAACAATGCTAACCGTAATTATTACTGTAATTTCCTCGATTTTATTTCCCTGAAATGGCCAAATGAATTCAAGATATTCCATAAAATGTAGTTTAAAGACCTCACTAATCAGAGCTGGCCTCAAAGAATTCTTGTGGTCTGGGAACTGTGTCCCAGTGTGGTTGGCTCATGACTGACTGCAGGCTAAGATCTTAAGTATTTTTCAAGCTGCCTTTCAGCATCGTATTGTTTCTGAACGTCTATGAGGTAACCACGATCTTCCCAGGATGCTTGTGTTTCTGCTGTAGCATTTCTGCAGATGTTGACATAAATAAAGCATAATAGATGAATAGAGAGAGTTTTATTATACTGAAATTTAGAGTTGATATGATAGAATGTAAAACGAGTATGTTACATTATCTGTTTTCAGCAGTTATTTCCCCGATATGAACCATATTTTACGTCTTTTAAGAGGTTTTGCAGAGTTAGGGAGTCAAATATGGACAGTTTAATTCTTTCACATACAAATCAATCCAGAAATTAAGCTTCCTTTGTTTTGTACTTAAAATATTATCTAACATATGAAAAATGTCTATGTAAACAAGTGAAACCATTATACTCAAGGCCACAGAAGTGTGTATAATTATTTGGAGTATAATTACACCAAAACTCTGCCGCGAAAAAGTGGTTTTATTTTATCTGGAATTTTGTCATGATGACCATGATAGTTTTGAAATCCCTCTATCTTCCCCTTCTCTGTTTATCTCTCATTATTTAGAAAAAGTCACACTTTTTAACCACATACTGGTGAAAAAGCAGAGGTGAAGGATTAGTGACGCTTCCTTTCGCTTCCCATCATCATAAAAGAGGAATTAAAAAAGATCAAAGGCGGGTAGATAAGTTTTATCCCGCAGCGATATCCGTCCAAACGCTACATCTAACATTTCATTTACTAACGTCACTGAAGCCAGACGGGAGTTTGGCGTCCAGCTGCTAATTTTAGCTGAGAGGGTATTGGTTATGGCGGGCCCTCTGCAACAGGGTCACGGTGTTAAAACTCAACACTGAAACTGAGCACTCATCAGCAGCTCAAGTGATGCGTGTCCGTCCTCGCAGATCACACTGGATCCTCCCAATCACTGCTCACTGGAGTCAGGGTTTGTTTAATCATACTCTGAAAACACGTAATTTTAAATACAATGAATTTAAAAAAAAGACATGTGGATATGCAAGTCAATAAATAAATAGAATTGAAGCTGCAACAAATCAAATTAAAAGTGTCTATAAGTCCTTTGATAAAAATATTATTGCCTCTTCATTTTCCAAAAAACAAATTATTTGATTCTACTTTTTAAAATGTGAGAATTGTTCATCTATTGTTGTGTTGTATTATAGTAAACTGAATATTGTGTTTTGTGAATTGAATTAGGGCTGCAGGTAATGAATATTTCCATTAGTCTGCATATCATTTTCTCAATCAATCAATTTCTGTCTATAAAATGCGAAAGATTTGAGAAAAATGTCTGAGAAATCGATGCAAAATATTTTATTTATCATGTAGGAGCATCAATCCAGCAAATACTTGAATTAAAAACAATAGTTCAGTTAGTAGTTCAGATCAAGTAGTTCTAGTCATTGAAATTATTTATAAGAGTTTAAATGTCAACTTTGGACCTTTATGGAAAATTGTGAGCACACAGTAACACATCATGTAATAGTTACCCCAACTTTTCAAGCAGCCTGTGATGATAACATCATATTACTTTCATTGTGTAGTTGTCAGCAGCCTGTTGGTTGGTACAAATTAAAAACAGAAACATCTTTAGGCCCAAAGAGCCATTAACATCAACACTTCTGTGAACCCTGAACACACACCAGGCCACACAAGTCTGCTGTTAAGAGTGTCTCTGAGGCAGTATTTCATTAATGAACGCACAGGTGCTGCAGGGCAACTGCTCCAGTCGAGCCAGGGCAATAATCAGAGACTGGTGGCACAGTGAGGGAGGGGCGGCCACTCTATTGTTTATCTCCAATTATAGCAGAGAAAACACTGCAGACCTCCTCCACACTGCGAGCTGTGAAGAGCAGCAAGCAGCGCTCAGATCTGACGGCCTCGATGGAGCTCAGAGTGCGTTCAAGAGAGGCTCTTCAGCGAGAGAGGGGCCTGAATTCCAGACATGTCCTTATTAAGAAAGGGCTGTGAGTGCTCACTGTTTCTCCTCCTGCCTCCCTTGTGTCAACCCAACGCCCTCCCTCCCTCCTCTTCTGCCAGCCCCCCCACCACCACCACCCTCCACCCAGCGCTCAGAACGTCTCTACCCAAATAAGGAGAGGAGACCAGGGGATGCGTGTATGGGAGGAGTGGGTGGTGGTTGGCTTGGTTGGTTGGTTGGTTGGAGAGCAGAAGGGGGAAAGGGGGTGTGTATGTGGGGTGGGGGTGTTGTCCAATTTAGGCGTCCACTTTGGGGTCTGGAAAACAGTGGGATTGTTCCAGCTGGAATGCAACATCAGCAGTGAACACACTCAGAGCTCAGACTAGAGGCAGGCCATTGTCAGTGGAGCCATTTTTCAATACATCCTCTTGTGGAGTCACAGGATTCTAAATCTGAACAATAGTCATGGCTCGATGGTGAAAAGTTAAAGGACAGTTTTATGGGCTGAAATACAACAGCGAGTTGGACCCAAGATGGAGGGATTCGCTTCTCCGACACAATTTACTGCCAGCATGTCGTTTGAAAATAAAAGCTGTTGTAATTAACATATTGATTACATTACAACAGCTGTTTGTATTGTGCCTTTGAGCCAAGTTCGGGTGATAAACTCAGGCATAGTAATGACTTACAGAACAAAATAAACTGCGGATCCACAAAGCTGAGTGTATACAGTGTAATACATGAAGACAGCTACTGATAACCTGAAACAGCGGATTAATCGCTCAACAGAAAATGAATGAACCTAAAACTATTTTGATAAGTTAACCGCTTAAGTATTTTCTGCTCCTCTATTGTGAGGTTTATTCTGTTTCTTGTGATAATAAATACAAATTGCTTAGACTTTGGTCTGGTGGTCAAACAATAGGGCTGGCTGATAATTCAATAATGTAATAAATGATCATCGTTTCGTGGAATAATATTGTGATGAAACCATATTTGAGATAACAGAATTAGGACACAGAATTACGTTGTGAACGTTGAAAACAACAAGCACATACTAACTCAAACTCTCAAAATTAAATGAGAAAATACTCATTGTTAATTTATACAGTGGTATACAAATATAGGCTATTTATATAGAATATTAATTTTAAATATCTGAAAACATAATAGGCAATCGGCAAACATCATGTGATAGATAGCACTACTGAGATAATGTAATGACCAATATTAGGTCATCTCGCGCAGGGCTATCAAACAAAAAAAT